ATTACTAGATTCTACACTAGTTGCTGTATCTGCAACCTACTAGAAGGTTACCCATATAAACTTTCTACGCCTATATACTCTGAGGTCTACTTTAATTAGTAACCATTCTTCTGATTCTATGAACCAGTCTCCCTGACACACATTTATATAATAACTTAGAACTTTAAAATGGACCTCTATTATCTTTATAACTTACTTCTGGTCCTTTATTCTCGATGTAAACCTGACAAAGCCCGCAGTATCCTACTTTATACTACACCTAGTCTACACTTCAGTTTGGTATATACAGACCGTAGCCCACTACTTGCGACTCAGTTTTGCCTATTCTAGGAATGTATATAGAGCTGGGTTAAGATCCTTGTCAATGGTTTTTCAACTAGCTTAAACTTTCTTCTGCTTCCTTTCTATGGTTTAACTCTAGTTTGACTGAGTCTGCTATCCAAACCTACTTCTGCTCTTGTAGAGTTCACTCAAACCCCAGAATTTACCTCACAGTATATCTCCAGGACTTTAGTAACCCAGCTCTCTTTACTCAGACTTCTAATCCAGATAGCCAGGTATGTAATCACTTATTTTTCTCAGATTCAACAGTAGCCTAGTTGGTGTTAGTAATTTCATCTATTTGTCGATAGCAGAGGCCCCAACTCTGGTTTTCAACTTCCAAGCTAGATGGCCTGGTAACTGTATACTTTTTCACTATGTCTAGACAGATACCCCTGAAGAGCAGCTAATAGATCTTCTACCATTGCCATAACTTGTCTGCAATTGCAAGAACTCCCTAACTATATTCCTAGTCCTTTTTTCTATTTGCAGTAATCTGGTTGGTGTGGGCACAACTCTAACACCCCATATTTTATCTAGTTTAGTTCATATGGGTTCTGTTTCCTGGGTCTAACCTTTACAGTAGCTCTGTCAAAGATCTGTGCTACTTCTCTACTCAGAACTTGCCAAGTAGGCTTCTATATTTGCAGTTTTCTAAATTTACACAGCCTGGGGGCTTATCTTGTGTTTGCACCACCCTATTATCTGTTTGCATTCCTTTGTATAATATTGTGTCACACAAATGCCCAAGACCTCCCAGTCTTGTTGGTGTGACCATAGTTATAAGTATCCTATCCCAACTGATTGTTGAATATAGTTAGCTATAACACAAGCAGAATTTTCAAATTTTCATTACTGGTGAGATTCGAACTCTTGACCTGCCACTTGGGGGTGACAGCTTGACCACTTTACTATATCACCACACCCTATTTTAAGAATTTTAAAGGGTATAAAAAGTGTTTTTGCTAATATTTTAGTTAATATTAGGCCAAAACCCTCTGTTAAGGGCTTGTTTTGACCGGGTAGATAAGCTTAACAACCTATCTTAGAGCTACCAGATAGGTTGTAAAGATAATTTTAGAGAAATAGTTAAAAATTTGAATTTTAAAACCAAAAGTAGTTTTTGCAGCATTATGCTACAGGTTTTCAAGGTAAGGACTTGACACTTCCAGATTATATATAAAATTAAGAGCTGAACAAGTTTACTTAATGTGTTGGAAACAGTTATCTTAATAAAATATTGTGTTATTAAAGATTTTATATAGGCGAATTTTTAGTTAAGTTTTGTGTAAGTGATTTATGGAAAGAGTATTTATATAAAATTTCAATTTTAATTTTACTAGTTTATTGATAAATTTGACATTTAATAAAACACGCCTATGGCATTTTTAAATTGTATTATCCAAGAAATCAGCTAATTAAGTACCTAGATGTGTAGCAGCTTAAGTCCGGATAATTAGATAAGAATTATAGTATGATCGTAATATAACGTTAAAAAATTATATTTTCATTACGTTTCTCATTAATTTATCATTTATGCAAATATTTAAATAATAATTCTTCTAGAAGTTTCTTATTTTCATCTTCTTTTTGAATAAATGATGTAAAATTCGTTACAAAAACGTATTTTAATATTGTAAACTGTTCCTTTATATTTTGCAATCTATAACTACAATATAAATTAAAACCTAAGCAAATTAAATCTATCTACCCACTCAATGAATTAGGATCTAAAATTATTTCGAAAAACGTAATAATTGGTGAACATTAATACTAAAGAAAATAGATGTTTTGAAATGAGTTCATTAGTTTCAAGAAAAATCAACAACGCGATGCACCTAACCAGAATTTATCCAGTTAAAGGGACAAAATGCCATTTTTAGAGAGATGAGACATTGCATTTACGGTAATTTAGTTAAACAAAAAAAAATATGCTAAATACGAAATTAAGAAACCACATAGTTTGAGAACTGGAAAAACCAATTGTTCTGTAGTATATAAGTTAAAAGCTTATAATTCATTTGACATAATTTTCAAATAAAATAAAATATCCCAAATTGACGATTAAAAAAAAAATATGGTTTTTAGTTGTCGAAAGTCTATAGCATGTGCTTAAGCATATAACATATTATCAAAAAAATTTTTTTATATACATTTAACTCTTTCTATAGTAAACTGGCGATTCTAGAAGAAAAGGTTCGTTATGAAAAATTGGTATATTTTATTAAGAACCCATGGCACTTCTTATTACAAAATTTCAAATTTTGAGTTCGTTATATCCAGAGTCGACTGCATATATAATACTGTATATGTATTTTTTTTTATTTTATTTAATCGATAAAATCTTTGCGTTAATAAAAAGAATCGAAATTGCATAATTTTCTGAATGATCATTCCAAGTGATTACGCGAGAAATTATCCGACCCCAACAATCCTGGTGCGATATAAACAAAATAGTCTATGCTTTCCAAAAACCCTTCCTAACCTTAAATTAACACTGAATACTGATGTAAAAAATTGAGTTGAAAAATTTTATATACAAAATTTGAAACCCAGAAATTCCAAAAACAATAATAAAAAGCATACAATAGGATATACTACTCTATAGTTTGAGTTACAATAAATATATAACTTCTAAAATTTTACTAAAATTGATATGACTCTAAAAAGTTCACAAATCCACTTTTAAGTTTTCAAAAAATAAGACACTATTCCGTATTAAGAGGAGATAAATCGGGTTTAATAGAAGTTATTAATGAAGTATCGATAATATGTTCTCTATAATAATTGTTAATTCTTTCCAAATGTTCAGCACGTTTTTCTAAATCATCAAGTCGTTTCTGAATTGAGAGATTTTCATGTTCTTCGGTAATAAGGTTTACTTTTTCATTAGATTTGTCATGTTGTAAATTCAATAAATTTTGTTCATATTGCTTTTTGAATAGCTTCGATTTATGCACAAAACCCCATGGAGAAATTAAACCAAGTCCTAACATATAGAAGTATTTTTTTTAATTAAAAAAAAGTATTCGTTAATAATTCAATGAAATTCAATCTAAAATAATCAACGTACCAAATAAAAATACATAAAAAGCTGTCAAAGCACTCCAAATACCACCCAGAATACCTAACAAGCTCAAAACCTATTTATTCAATATAATAATAATAATTACTAAATAAATATCATACTTATTTAAAAAATTTAATAATATTTACTTACAGTTCTGCTCCTATTATTATCATTATTTATGAAATTATTAAGTGATGAATTTTAATTTATAAAATTATTAAGTGATTGCAAATACAAAATTATCACCAAAATTGCTTTTACCTTTGTTCTGTTTCTTCCTTTATAATAGAGCCAGGGCTTAGAAGAAAGCGCACTCTCGCATAATAAGATACATTACCTGTGTTTATAGTTGTAAATTAATAATGATAGTTTACAACTTGAAAATCGAATAATCAAACGAGCTATACTAATGGAAGCATTCTTACGATTTGTTATATCATTAAAAATTGTGGCTGTAAAAGGGATGAGCTCTATAGTTAATGTCACGGCTGATTATGAAATCGGATTATTGTGAAATTTGGATCTATTTCATGTACGATTTTTAAATTTTTTT